AGCGCCAATGAATATTTGAAGATAGGAGAGGGAGATTTGCCATACATTAACCCTGTCTTCTTTCCCTTCATGCCACATCCCATTCTGTCACCGCATCTGCTTGAAATACACTCCCTGCAGAGACTGGAATGAGGGGAAGGCTAGTAGCTCTTTAATCCCTCCCGTTTCCTTCCAACTACTCGCTGGATGCTGAGGCAGTCCAACTCTGCTGCAAAAGGCGTGCTTAGAGCTGCATCTACGAATCCAAACCGGCGGCTGTTAAAACACACATACTGTATTTTGCTTTTCTAAGCTGCGAAAGAGCCAGAAGGAGAATGCATTTCATAAGAGGACGGTTTTGTAAGGTGATGGTGCAAAGGGAAGCTGTTCGCCTTTTGATATTGAAGGGAAAACTCTTCGATTACTCGTTCTGATCTTCATTCTGAAGGAAGCTGCAAAATAAACCCAGCAGGTTCCCAGTCTCTTACAGTTTCCAAATCTATTGTCCGAAGCCCTGTTTATTGCTTCAGAAATGGCTCATTTGTAAGGATGGGCATCTCCTTTTAGGACTTAGGTGGCCATTCAAAAATCAGCTCCGAACGTGTCTTGTTCTCATGACATTGGCTGTGGCTAAGCTGACCTCATTTTAGTATAAATGGTATAATAAGACCTGGGGGAGGAGGTTTGTTAAGGGTCCCATTACTGAAGAAATGCAGCATTACGCAGCTGTTTCCTGAGTGTCCTTCAAGATATTGATGCTGCTAATTGTACCTATAAGCACTTACTTACTGCAATCTCTCTTCTGCTTGTCCTTGACTCTTGTTTTATATCCCTTTCCCTACACAACCCTGAACAGTTTTATTTCTGTCTCTGAGTGCTAACAATGACCCCACAGCCTGCCCTGGCTCCCCCCCCCCAAATTTCCTAAGTTGAAGCTATTAATGACTCTTAAATTCTCTGAAACAATGGCAGCACTGCTAAGGAATATACACAGGTCATTCGGCTGCTACAAAAACAAGCAAACTGAATGTGGAATGATTAAGAGAAGGTGTTTTATATTCCACTGGGAATCCTTCCTCCCCCTTCTCCTCTTACTCTTCCTCCTCCTCCACCCTCATGCTGGGCAAAGTGTACATTAGAGGTGCACGCATTCTTAAAATCGCAACCTGCCTCATTTAACAAAGCAACAACCCACCAAACTATAAAGCTCAGGAGACAATAGATTTCTCAGGTTAAACCATTTTTGAACGCTGACTTTCTGATAGGTTGGCTAAATACCTGTTTCAAGACTCTCCCTGACAACCAAGCAGATCGAAAAGAGGGCAGCAAGAACACACCCTTTGCAGAGCATTAAAAAATTGTCAAAGAATTGGCAAAGCTGTAGTGAACCCAATGTGGACTTGGAAGAGAGTGCTCTCAATGAGGTCAGTGATTCTTGAAGCCAATTTAGGAAACAGCAAAGAATATTCTGTAGAAAATTGGACTTATCCACGGGGAAGGAAAAGAAGGAATAAAATGATTATGCTATCTGTTGTGGCCCAGCAGGAGCCGTTGGAGCTGCAAACAGACTCCGATAGCGAGGGGCCCTATGAGTCGGCTCTGGAAAATGTGGAGGACCCTGGACAGGGTTCAGACTCGGAGCAGGGACCAGAGAGGCTGGTTGGCCACCAGGAGGCACTTGAGGCATGGAATAGCGGTGAAAGCCAAAGGGAGTTTGTCCCTGACGTCAGGCCCTGGAGCAGTGGTGAGGATGTCAGGCCCTGGAGCAATGGGGAGGAGCTAAGGGAGTTGGTCCCGGACACCAGGCAAAGATGGGCAGATAAGCTCCGGCTGCAACTAGGAGATATAGAAGACAATTGGGGCCAGTTGGTTGTGATTAGGCTCCTCCCAAGAGAGTATATAAGAAGAGACTTTGGGAGGAGACCTTTTGCAGGACACAACCATTATACTAAAACTGGAGAAGCTCTTGTGTGTATTTCTTATCTGTGGGAGTCTGGGTTGCTGCCAAAGTCTTGTCTGTATGTTAATTACTGTAAATAAATTGGCTAGCAGTAATCTTGTGTCGGCGTGACTCACCATATGGAGAGGGGTCAGAACAGCTATCTATGATAATAGGTCTGTAGCAGAAATACATGATGGGTTGGTATTATACTATAGCAGGCTGCAAACTCCCAACCTGCGGGCCAGATGAGTCACACGCTGGCCACTCCCACACCCAATTTAGCAAAGGGGAAAAAAGTCTTGATACATCACATGACGCGGCCGTGATGATGTGAGTTTGATATCCCTGTACTATATAGGATCACCCAGAGATGGGTTCCTACTAGCACTGCTACTGGTTCATTTTGCGGTCATCATGCTCGCTTCGCTCGCGTGCGTTCCAGATGCACATGCGCAAAGACCATGAAAAGCTAATAAAAACATGCCAGCAACTGCAACGGAGACTGGGGAACCGGTTCGGGGGGCGTGGTCAGTCTGGGTCGCTGCTGGTTCTGCAACCCAGGCCAAATTACCACTACTGGTTTGCCCAAACCAGTAGAAACCCACTTCTAGGATCACCACTAAATTTAGGCCATGATAAGATGAAAAATTGTATTCAGATTCAACTGGGATCAGGTTCTTCTTTTTTCTTTTGTGTTTCACAAGTTCCCTTTTTTAGTCTTGGCAATAAAATAGCATTCCTATTAATTATGTTTGATATAGTAATGATATGAGAGAATGACCCAGTGGTGGGTTTCAAAACTTTTGGGAACCTACTCTATGGGTGTGGCCTCCTTTGTGGGAGTGGCTTGCCAGCCATGTGACCTGGTGGGAGTGGCTTGCCAGCCATGTGTTTTCTCTCTCTCTCTCTCTCTCTCTCTCCTTCCTTTTGTCTCTCTGTCTCTTTTTTCTTTTTTTCTCTCATCTCTCACTCTTTTTCTTTCTTTTTTTCTTTTTATTTATTTATTTATTTCTTCCTTTCTTTTTTCTTTCTCTCTCTCTCTCTGTGTCAGTCTGTCTGTCTGTGTGTGTGTGTGTGTGTGTGTGTGTGGCAGTGGTGGGTTTCAAAATTTTTTGGAACCTCTTCTGTAGGTGTGGCCTGCTTTCCAGGTCCACTGGTGGAACCTCTTCTAACCGGTTCAGTAGATTTGACGAACCGGTTCTACCGAATAGGTGCGAACTGGTAGGAACCCACCTCTGGTTGCCTGCAATCTATGGCAATAATCCAAATAGAAGTTATAGAGCATGAGCCATTCCGGTCCAGGAAATGTAACAGCTGCTGACTAAATGCTATCTGAACCACTGGTGCAATTTGTACCTCCAATGATAGAGATAAAACTGCTTATTTGATTCAATGGGGATACAATCCCATCCTAGTCAACTACCTGGGATTCAGCTTCATGTATCCTGGTGGCATCCAATTCCAAACACCAGGATGACATTCAACCCTATTTTTCCCTTGATATCAAGCGAGGTGCTGCAAGGATTTGATTGGTGTCTGGATGCCGTAATGGGATGGATGGGTGAGAACCAATAACCTGAAGCTGAATCCCAGTATGAACCATCAACTCAACAAGCCATGAAGAAATATTTCAGGAAATAGGGAAAACAAAGGCATAATGTTGTTTTTTTCTTTAAAAAAAAAACAATAAACAAATTGAAGTCTGCTGAAGCAGAAACAGAGTTGTTTTTTTAGTTTTACGCGGAATAACATAAAATAAAAACAATTGGCTGAGTTTCTGACTTCCTATTTCAGAATTCCTAACTGTTTCCCGTTACAGCCCAAGCAGTAACTTAAAAGATACGGGTGTGGACAGATGTGCTTGCCTGCAGGCTAAACCAAGCTGTCTACCCCAGATAAAATCCTACAGCCCTTTCTCAGGAAAAGTGGAAATGAATGTAGTCTTAGAAGTAATATCTCTTTTCAGCAAAGGCAGGTTTACTGTCCAGACCTGTCAATGCTCTATTTCATGCAAAATGACCCAGCGGCTGCTGCAACACCAATCCCTAACTCATTACCCAGAAATAATTTGGAAATACCCTGAGCATCACAAAAGGTGCTTTATGCATCCATTGCGTTGTACAAGAAATATAGGTGTTGCTGTGTTTTTCATTGTCTCTATTTACTAGGGGCAGCCATTATTTTTCCTCTACCTCTCCTTTAAAGAGAGTCCTCTTATTTGGTTCCTCTTCTGTCTTTTGGGGGAGAGTAGCAACAAAATAAAATGTGCCCATCGTACGATGACTGTTCCTATTCAAGGTTACAGCTACTTATTCCCTTCTAGCAGCTATCTCATTCCCTCACTGTTCCACCTTCTGCTTTTCAAACTACCACCTAGTAGACCTTTCCCTCAGTCTTCTGGTTTTGCTTCATTCTCATTGGGATTGCCATTTGAGGTTCTTTATTGGAAAGGAAAACATTTGGGATTTGAGGGAGGCGGGCGGTGCGTTCTGCTCCATATTGCTAGGCTGAAGAGTCCATAACTAGATTCTGGATAATGAAGGAAGACCTGAAGGAGTTCTTGTCACCTGATTTGAATTCAGTGGGGTGGGCTGTGTAGGAAAAAAGCATCTGTAGAGAACTGGCTGGTGAATTAGATGACACAGGGCATCAAATGAGTTCCTCAAGATCTATCTTGGGCTTGGAATGCTTCAGATTTATGCTGTATTTCATTAATGTTGAAGATTCTGTGGGTTGGTTGTGCTGGGCAGTGACTTGAATTCTGGTAAATGTTAATAATAGCAATAGCAGTTAGACTTATATCCCGCTTCATAGGGCTTTCAGCCCTCTCTAAGCGGTTTACAGAGTCAGCATATCGCCCCCACAGTCTTGNGGCAGCGTTTCAAGGGAGATAAAGGTGGGTGCTTATCAGCCTTATCCCGAAAGACTTTGGCAGACTTCTGTCAGACTTTACAAACTATTTGTGACTCATTACAGGCTGTGAATGAACATAATTCACAGCCGTTGAAATAAAAAGAGGGTTTTGGGGACTAAGCGCGTGCTTTTTACAGTCTCAGGAAGCCTAGGTCAGAACACTCACCTGGTCTTTGGGATCGGATTATCTGCCTTATCATCACTGACATGGTGTCCCTCAAGTCATCGTTGGTCTTTGGAAGACACCAGCCATCCCGCTCCGTACAAGCCGCCTCCACGTTGTCATTTCGATGGATGATCTTCTGCAAGCTGAACAGAGGCCAATTTCAGAGAGGTTCTTCTCAGCGCAGCGAATCAGACAACCAAATTGTGACGCCAGGGATAGTCCTGTTGTGACAACCAAGGTCAGGAGAACCTAGCCTCCTGGATGGACCAAGCCATGGCTGTCATTAGCACCGTTTCTTGGAAAGCTGTAACTAACAAAGATGACATAACTGTTGCTAGGGTACACTTGTGCCTTGAGATGCTTGGTTGCGTGTCCTCAAACATCTGGGAAAAGCATCAATTGACTTTCTAGAGTCAGGATACACTAGTGGTTTGAGATGCTTGGTGCCCTCAAACATCTGGACAAAGCGTGAATTGACTTTCTAGAGTCAAGATACACTTGTGGCTTGAGAGGCTTGGTTGGGTGCCTTCAAACATGTGGGCAAAGCATCAGTTGACTTTCTAGAGTTGCAAAGCAAAGGACGTCCAAACTCATACATAGATTGGGTTTCAATCATAGAAGAGCCTCAAAAATGAAACAAGATTTTGACTAAAATCCCCGATCATTTCCACAGCTTAACATTAACAACAGGTCAGGGTAAATACTGTACCTTTCCACTTTCAAATCGCACAGCTGGTAGAACATCTGTCGATAAGGGGGCAGAGAACCTTCCTCAAAGATATAAATGGAATCCTAGGAGGAGGAGGAGAAGGCAAAGAATCAGAGGCAGGGTTGGACCAAGTCCTATCTGTGGGAGATCTCAGCACCAGTGGGAGGACACCTTAGCAATAGCAGTAGCCCTTAGACTTATACACCGCTTCACAGGGCTTTTACAGCCCTCTCTAAGCGGTTTACAGAGTCAGCCTCTTGCCCCCCAACAATCTGGCTCCTCGCTTTACTGACTTCAGAAGGACGGAAGGCGGAGTCAACCTTGAGCCGGTTGGAATCAAACTCCTGGCAGTGAGCAGAGTTATCCTGCATTACTGCATTCTAACCACTGTGCCACCATGGCTCTTTTCTGACCAAGGACCACTGACATTCTTTAGAAGGACCTAAAACATCTTGAGATGTTGCTTTCAGAAAGTAAAGGATTTGAGTTTCCTCTTCAGGATCTGCTCTAAAGAGCAGTCAGGGTTGATCTCCTCTAGGACTGACAGTCGATTGGATCGTCTTGGATTGTTTATATTGAAATGAAATAAAAACTTTCAAAACAATTGCGGTCGTAAGCCGAGGACCATCGGTAGATTCCCCCTTCACCTTATCTTGGAATCTTTGGTAAATCTAGATCTCCCAAAGAGAAACCAGGGGCCTGAAAGCTTGGAATGTCCAGGAGGAGGAGGAGAAGGACTTACCTTAAGTTTGTATTTGCTCATAACTGGGGATGTTCCAGATGTGCTGAGCCTCTGTTTTAAGTCTTGGAGACCGAGGCCTTGGTTTCCTGAAAGGGATATAAGGGGAGTGATCTCAATTTCTTTAGGATAACAAGAACATTGTGGGAGGTGGATGGAAAACCCTTCAAAAGAGGCTGCCAAATGATGCCATTTAGTGATTCAATCAGACTTAATCCTCAGAGCTTTCATCAAAAGCATGCAGGCTAAGGAATTTGGGGAGCCCAAATATTGGGAAACACACTGTTCTGACCAAGGCTTCTCAAGAACNTCTGTGGGATCTAATCGGTCTAGTGGAGGTAATTGGCAGCAGGCGGTCTCTCAAATACCCAGGTCCAATACCATGAAGGGCTTTATAAGTGACGACTAGCGCCTTGAAGCGTATTCTCCACCTCGGCCATGTTGCAAAGGTGCTTTTTTCAAGAGACGACTGGGCTTTCTGTTTTTTTTTTTTCTTCGAAGACATTTCGCTTCTCATTCCAAGAAGCTTCTTCAGCTCTGACTGGATGGCGGGGAAACTGAGGAAGCTCCTCGGATGAGGGGTGAAATGTCTTCAAAGGAAAAACCAGAAAGGCCTCTTTAAAAACTACCTTTGAGGCAACCACCGTTACGGATGATGGAGAATCTCCATAAATCTACCTCAGCCATACCAAATATATGGAATGGCAGACTTGGAAAGGGACCTTGGAGGTCTTCTAGTCCAAACCCCTGTTCGAGCAGGAGATCCTATATCATTTCTGGACAAATGGATGTCCAGTCTCTTCTTAAAATCTTCCAGTGATGGAAGCACTCACAACTTCTGGAGGTGAGCTGTTCCAATGGTCAATTTCTGCTTCGTTCCAAGTTGCTTCTCTCCTTGCTTAGTTTCCATCCGTTGCTTCTGACTTCAGGTGCTTTGGAGAATACCTTGACCCCCCCTTCCTCTCTGTGGCAGCCCCTCAAATATTGGAACACTGCTGTCCTGTCACCCCTAGTCCTTCTCTTCACTAAACTAGACCTACCCAATTCCTGCAGCTGTTCCTGGTATGTTTTAGCCTCCAGTCCCCTAATTCTCTTTGTTGCTCTTCTCTGCAATTCATTCAAAATTCAGGATGGAAATATTGTGGAACTTTTTTCAAGCTCCTTATTAAATTGGGATCAAAACATCAGGCCAGTACAATTCTTACATTCTCACCCTGAGAATGTAAGCTAGTTCCAATTTGGATTTTAAAATAAAGTCTTTCTGAGTTTCTTTTAAGTGTCCTATAAATAAATCTCACTTGAAGCGATTTTGAAGGCACAAGTCTCTTTTATTTGCACTCAAGCTGAAAAAGAAATCTCTCATCGCTATGCAAAACAGTGGAAATTTCTTAAGACTGTCCAATTAATGTCCCACAAAACCTCCAAACAATTGAATCACAGAGATTTTTTCTTCTCAAGGCGTCACAAAAGAAATGTCTCTTTTTTTGAGAAGGACAGGAACAACTTAAGTCCTAGAAGGAATGAAATTATAATTCAACGTTATAATTGTAAGTTCGTAATAAGTTCAACAGCGGCCGATCCAGAAGAAGACTTCAGGAGACAAAGGTGTTGGGACATAGATGGGCTTGGCCCTCAATTTCAAAAAATGCTGTCAAAGAAATGCCCCAAAAGTAGAGTCTCATATCTACATTTCAATACAACAATGGAAGGAAATCTTCATCAAGGAAACGACAAAAAAACAACTATCACTGAGCTCTTTGGGGGGGGGGGGATGCAACACCAGCAAGATGCAACTTACAAATGACACTTTTGCACAAATCCAGTCAACTCAAAGTTATGATGCAGCCAATGGGTATGTTTGGTTGTGGGTTCGTGGAGTAGATTGGGTTGTTGGGTTCATTGGGTTGCTGCGTTGGTTGAGTTGGCGCATCGGTTGGGTTGGTGAATTGGTTAAGTTGGCGCATAGGTTGGGTTGGTGTGTTGGTGCATCAGTTGGGTTGGTGAGTTGGTGCATAGGTTGGGTTGGTTGAGTTGGCGCATTATTTGGGTTGGTGAGTTGATTGAGTTGGCGCATCGGTTGGGTTGGTGACTTGGTTAAGTTGATGGATTCATTGACTCATTGGTTGGATTGATGGGGTTTCTTCCTTTCTTCTATCCTAAAGAGCAAAACAAATTCTCCCCCCCACCCCAAGAACCAGTCCAGCCCACCAGCCCCATCACATTAGACATAGTCAAGAATTTCGGTCTCCATTTCATTTTCGCTCCCATCCGAAGGCTTGAAAACCTCCTCTTCCTCCTCCTCCTCCTCTTCTTCTCCGGATTCAAAGGTCAGCTGCTCTTTGCCCGCTGTGGAGCTGGAAGGGTTTCTGAAGAGAGCTGAAAGAGCAGAGAAAAGGGAATTACAAATGAGAAGCAAAAGGCTCAGATGATTCTGGTTGGAATCATTCAGAATGAATTAATAGGGGATCTGGCGCTTTTGAACATCTTGTGACCAACAAAGACAAGATCCCAGAATTATGGGGGGAAAACGCTAAGAAACACAAAAGCGTTATTATTAAAAGAAGACTGAAAAGAAGAGAAAAGCTGCAGGGATGCCATTATTACAGGTAGACCTTGAGTTATGACTATAATGGTGCCTGCCCATTACAATCGTAACTCGTGATGGATATAATACAGGTCACCCACATGACCAACATACCTGGACTTGCCAGCCCCGTTTCCCCGTCACTGTTGTAGTCCGCTGGCGGTCCGTGGAGCTGGCAGCAGAGTCGGACAGTGGGGAGGAACATGGGTCAGTCCTGGAGTCTGGGGAAGGCTCAGACGAGGGCTCTGCGTTGGAGGCAGAGAGGGAGCCAGGGCCATCTGGGAGTTATGTGCTGCCTCCGGAGCCTCCAGAGTCGGACATAAACGAGGCAGAGGAACAGGGGGAGCCTGTTCCCAGTGCACGCATGCGCAGAGCTGCCAGAAGGCGAGAACAGTTAAGACTAAAGAGGCGACTCGGGAGTAAGGCTTGGAGGTGATTGGCCCTTCCCATAAGCCATGAAGGAGGAGCAAAGGCACGTGAGCCTTTGCAGGAAGCAACTTTGTTCATGCTGGTCGGTTTAAATTCTGAAGCTCCGTTTTGACTCTGTGCTCCGTGTGGCCTTGCAAAGCTAATTGCCAATTAGGTCTTCGGCAGCGTTTCAAGGGAGATAAAGGTGGGTGCTTATCAGCCTTATCCCGAAGGACTTTGGCAGCCTATTGTAGGACTCTTTACAAACTATTTGTGACTCATTAACGGCTGTGAACAAACATAATTCATAGCCGTTGAAATAAAAAGAG